GCAGCAGCCGGAAAAGCTGACTCTCCCTCTGGTTTCGGCACGGGGCAGATGAGAAGCAGCCACGGACTGGAAGGAAACTCACCTTCAAAGACCTTTCACAGAACCTTGGGATATGAAAGAACTTAGGCTCTGCAGAAAAACCCAACAGGAGCTCCCCAAGGATGCCTTCTGGATGCTCGACACCTCCAAACAGACCCAGTGGGTTGACCACGCCCAGGTAGGCTCCTCGAGCTCTGGGCCCCAGATCCCCAGCCAGGCCCTGCCTTGCTGATCCCTCTGGTCCCGTCCAGCTGATCCAAGAGCCTGAGCCGCCATCCATCATCCAGGGTGCGGTGGCCCTTCGACCCTGTCAAATAGTCACTAATCATGCCTCAGATTGACGTCATGGGGCTGTTTATGGAGCAGCCCTGCTGGAGCAGTGAGATGGCTGAGGCAAACGTTGCTCCAGAAATGCTGGGAATGCATCTCAAACGGGCAGCCAGAGGCTTGTCCTAACTTTTACTGCTATTTTTAAGATACCTCCATCCCTGGTGAGGCCGGGTTGGAGCCCGAGACCTCAGTTTTATTTGACCACATTTATCTTCAGAGGTCAGTGAAAGCTAAGAATAAGAAGGGTCATCGAGTTCCCAACACTATTTTCCAGCAAATCAGGGTCAACTTTTCATTTCCCACCACAGAAGCGGTTTTAAAAGCCGGCTTTGGGGCTGGCTGTAGAGCTGTCTCTGTTTCTCACAATCCCTGTCTCTCATAGTCCCTTCCCCATTCCCAATTTCTCTCTCTCTCTCCTTCATTTCTATTCCTCACACCCACTGACAGTTCCTGGCTTAGAAAGACATCAGTAGATTATGCCTCCACTTCCTAAATCTCCAGAGAATTTGGTGACCCAGACACAGCACGCAGTGAGTAGGACTCGCCTGAGGTAGATTCCCATCAACAACTCTTATCTATCCAGGAAAGGTAGCCCCCAAGTACAGCTATCTGATATGTGACATCTAGATGATATGCTGACCCCATTCTCTAGACATCTGCTTACATGGTAGAGTAAGGCATCTCTTTATTTTAAATGTAACCCACTAGTCTTCACACTGTGGTCAGAGATAACACCAATGAAAAGTTCAATCTCATCACTGCTCCCCTACACCCCTCAGTGGCTCCCCATTGCCCTGAGAGGGAGCCCACACACCTATGACCAACATGCTCTTCTTGGTCTGCTTCCTGTTTTTTCTTCCAGCCTCATCTCTCATAGCTTACCCTTCTCACTCCAGCTCTAACCACTGAGCACGAAATAGCCCCTCTACCTGGAAAACACTGTTGTCCCTGGACCTCCTTCATCACTTGACACCCCCCTTGCCATCCACCACCGCTCCTTCCACCCCACTCACCACCCAGGCCGACTTGGTCACGTGAATGAGGAGTTTCAATAAGATTATCTCTCTGGCCACTCTGTTCATTCTTCAGGGTTTCGCCTCCCTTGAAGCTTCCCCTGAACACTTAAGTCTGGGTTAGGTGCATAGCCTCCTTCCTCGGGGCTCTCAGAGCTCCCTGCATATACCCTATCACAAATTATTAAAGCTATTTTTAGTTGCTTGTTTACTTACTCATCTCCTCCATCTAGACTCCTTGAGGGAGGCACTGTGTCTTGTTGCCTTATATAACCAACGCCAAGCCTATAGTAGAGTCTCAAAAATAGTTGCATAATGAACCTATACTTCTCACTGGTACTGACTAAGGAAAAAAAGCTGGATGTTCCAAAAGTCGTTTTGGTTTGATCCTGGAATGATCTATTTTCTGCAGATAAATTTTCTTGGCAGAAATATAGAATGTACCTCCTATGCATGCACCTAGTGATAATTCTGCCACTCAGTGATGGAATTTTTTTTTACTGGGCCAAAGATAAGCCATGATCCTGTCTACTCACATGGAAACAATGAAGAGAAGAGTTACTGGGGCTTGATAGCTGGCTGGAAAATCCACTGACTCTGAAGGAAGGTACAAGAAAGCTTGATCTGATCCACGTGTACTAATAGTACCTGGTGTCCTGGGCATGTGTTGATTCAGCTGAGTTGTATCCATTCATCTTGACTTCTCACTAGAGAACTATCTCCTACTCCAAGATCACATGCTTCAGATGGAGATGATTTCACTCCCAACCCCGAACCCCAATGGCCCTAAAGTCCATTAAAAGCATCACACTCCTCTGGCTAGAGTGATTGGTTCTGGGTAGGGCATGCACACTGATCCTAATCAGTGAGCTTCAGTGAGACTTTTGCTGGGGTCATTGGGAAAGCGGTATGGGCCTTTTCTCACTGGACTTGAACCCAGTATGATACTGGCCTCTAGCTGCTGGCCGTCATGTGGAGCTTGAAACTACAGTCAACATTTATTGGAGTAGGGTTGGGAGATGGAGAAAGATTTGATTTGAGAAGACATGATTGAATCAAGTGTGGCCTAAAATTAGGACTACCCTCAACTTTCAATGTGGGGGCCATTACAGTCCCTTTGTGTCTAAGCCCATTTAAGCCATTGATATATCTGGAAAGCATATTCATCGTGTTACTGGAAGATCTGATGGTCAAGGGCAAGGTCTGAGACCCTCAGTGCTCTGGATAGACATGTGCTTCTAGATCAATTAAAGAAACAGACAGTGTTAGCCTTGCTTCCCCACAAGACAAGTCTCACTGGTGTTGCTCTCCACTGCACGGAGTGGGGGGAGGCTTGTGTTCTTGGATAGATGTGAGTTTCACTTCAGGATCTGTCACTAGAAATCTCTGTAATCTTGGAGAACTCTTCAACTTTCCAAGCCTCAGTTTCTTTTTTTGTAGAATGAGGACTTTCAACACGATGATTTCTATACTTTCCAGTTATAAAAATGATTGTCAAATTCTCATATTTCAGTGCCTGTTTATTTAATGTAAACCTGTTGCCTGATTTCATGGACCCTGCTGGAGCAGATCTAGATGCTACCAGAAAAGGCTTCTAGCCGGTACAGACCCTCTGTAAAGTGGAACTATATCTTTTGGATCTGCACACAAAAATCCAGCACCATGGACAGACAGTCTGGCATGCCAACCATACGGAGAAGTGGCCCCTGGGCAGTGCATAGTCCAGTAGCAAATCTGCATGCATATGACTTAAGTCCAAGAGTCAGACTCTTTCTAGCCCCAGATATGAAAATACCTGAAACATATAACCTTATATGGATGAATAAATTTATTCATCTATTCTTGGATCTGGCCCCTGATTTTGAGTTTTTTCTTCGTTGGCTAGAGTTGAACCCTTAAGTTATTGCTCCTGGGGCCAGAACACCCTTCTATTTAAATCACAAATTGGTAAAGTTGTTTAACTCAGCCATCTGGGTTGGGAAGATTAGGTTTCTCTCTTTTGTGGTCTCAGACTGTAAATCTGAACCTAAGCAGCTGTCTTACAAATGGCTGACCTTGGGTACAAAAGTGTCCCAGGCAGGAAAGCATGACAGACATGCCCAAGGTCACCAGTGCTGCAAACACAATGGAAACACTGCGTCTTCAATGGAGGCATCGACAGCTTTTACATCAAACATTATTGGGGACGGTCTAAGAAAGCCCTACATTTTCCCAACAATACCTTTGCCTAGGTTTTTGTTATCATTGTAGTTATTGTTCTATTTTTAAAATATATGAGGTATGATCTTTGATCAAGTCCTTTATGGGAATTAACCAGGGTACAAAAGGGTTAAAAATTTATTCCCCTCTGCTCCTCTTCTCTTTATTTGCCCTTCTTGGGTAAATAGTGGAGAGTTTTCTGTTTCTTAGGGATTCACAGGGTTTCAATGATCCCTGTGTTGATAGCTTTCAATCATGACTCTAACCTGGACCTCTCTGGAATGCCAGCTTAGTGTGTCTAGGAATTAGGTGAAAAAATTGCCCCTTAGATTTCCTACCATCATTTTAAATGCAATATGATTGAAATCAAATTCATCACATGTACCATAACATTAGATTCTCTTAGTATCTTCCCCATCCCTGTCAGTGGACCCACAATTTTCCAGTCCTCTGACTTCAGCCCCAACTTTGGAGATATCCTTGACTCAGACTCTCTCCAATGTCTCTTGTCACCAACTTTGCAATATATTATATGAAATTGCTCATCTTCTCCCTTCGTCTTAATTCCACCCTGGTCCATGTCCACCATGGCTCATGTGTGAATGCTGCAGCACCTCAGCTTCCCTCCCTGAGCTCCCCTAATTCTAGTCCATCCTTCTCTCTGAGACCAGATTAATTTTTCTAAGCCTACATTTTATCCTGTCATTCCCTGGCACTAAAAATGTCAGTAACTTCCTATTGCATCACATTAAAATTCCTGTAATATTTCAAGATTTCCTATTATCTACTTCATCCCACCTATTCAAATGCAACAATGTGTTGTCCTATACTATCCTGGGAATTTCTACATATATTGTATTTCCTATATTATTCCCTATTATTATCTCTCAAGCATTCTCCTTGCTAACTATATCACCTAGTCCCTAAGTGTTTATCTAACACCCCAAATTCATGCTTACTCCCATGACTGCCCATGCTGACTCCCTATCTGGGATACTCTCTCTTTCTGTCCTACAACTCCTTGTGGCCTCTCCAGGAAGCCTACTCTTTCCATTCCAGCCCCTATCAACCTCCCTTTCCTCTGAACACCCACAATACTCACGGTCCATACTAGATATAACCACTGAATAACGTGCTATGTCCTATCTATTCTGCTTCTTTTCTTCCCAACCAGACCATAAACCCCTTAATGGTAAGGACGAAGCTATATACTTCTTTGTCTGTTCCATAGTGTCTAGCAAAAGGCACTCAATAAATGTTTGTTGATTCATCAAAACTGATTTATAGCAATTCGGGGAGGGGGACAGGAGACAGAGGGAAAGGAGAATGGTAGAATGGTATAATTCTAGGTCATCCAGATAATTACTTGGATCCACTGCTCCTGGTCCTCCCTTGCCCACCTCTTCCTGATTACTTTACCTGCAGAACCGAACCTCCTGGTCAAACTGTGAGTTTTCTGGCTGCGTTCCCTCCTTCAGCTGGCTGACGTTGAAGAAGGAGAGGGTGTGGTTGACAAAGCCGTGCAGAGTCCCGTTGTGACTATAGGTGTACTGGTACACAAGACGTGGGATAAAGTCGGAGGTGACAGCAATGACAAAAGCCTAAGGGACAGAACCACAAGGCCTTGAGGAGTGAACAGAAGGGATGCTGTCCAGGTGGCACAGGGTCCATCTGGCTGAGAGACTGTGCCCTCTTGGGCTTCCCCTCCAGAGAAGCTACTCTGATTGAGATGGCAGTTTTTAATCCCTGAGTTCACACAGCTGACTTGCATGGTTTTCCATCCTTGAGATGTATAAGTAAATCTACCAGACAGTAACTGTCAGGGGAGTGAATTACAACCACTGCAGCAAAGGATGCTAAGTCAGTTTGAACCATTTGGTGCTGGAGGGATTAAATCACCCCGGAGATATTTGAATTGACACTGGTGTTGGCCAAGCCAAAAAAGAGTGGAAGATTTTCTGAGAAAATTACTGATAGGATGAGAATGCTACTTAAGTGCGATGGGGCAGGGACACTGAATGACCATGTACAGCTGCCCCTGAGTGACACCAGAAAGCCAGGAATACCAAGGATATGATTCCACAGTTCCCTCAACTTGACCTTCATATCCCGGCACTTTTCAGCACATCATGTAATGAAAGTTGTTCTTTCATCCATTTTACTTAGGAAAAGTGAGACATAGAGGGAGAAGCAGTGGGTCCTGCTGGATGGAACCACACATACCCAACATAGCATCTGGCATATCTAAGCACTCTATAAATGTCTGCAGAGCAAATCACATGACAAATGAATGATCGCATGTTTGAATGTGGAGGTACTTTCTGCAAAGAAAATCTTAAATCTTTTTGGCAGGTGTTTATACTGTATTCTGCACCAACAATTAAAGCCCTTTTAAAAAATGTAGTTTAGGTATTGTTTTCTAAATGTATATATGAGTGTAGATGGCTATAACCATATTTGAGAGTGAGTAACATACTTATAATAATCATAGCCACCACTTACTGAGCACTTGCTATGTGTCCTTTCATCATCCCATTTAATTTCCAGAATGATCTTATCTGGTGGGTACTCTTATTCTCTCCCACTTTACAGATAAGTAAAGAAGTCTAAGAGAGGCCAGGGAAGTCAAACTTCCTGTCTTTCTGCTGTATAGATGGAAGTGCTTAGTGCTCAGGGCCTCTCTTTTAGTAGAGACAACTCCAAAATAACTACTGATCTATTTTCCAAATTGCACCTTATTTCTCAGCCTCAAGATGTGCGCTTCCTGCACCAAATGTTCAAAATGCAATGGGCTGATTCTCTCTGCCTCTCCTCACACCTCTTCTGCCATTTTATGTGTTCTTAATAGGGAACCAGGTCTCAGCCAGAACCAAGGTTTTTCTCTCAAAGGAGAATGGGCTGTAGCTTTCTTGGTGTACGCTGCGCTGGCTAATATTTTCTTGGGAATATCAGAGGAAGAGGAGGCCCTGCCTGGCCACCACACACACAGAATGCAGAAGCAAAAGGAGCTACTGGCTTGAGCCCAGCAGGATTTCCTCTGAAATGTGGACACGTCAGGCAAGGCAGTTAAGGAAGTCACAACAGATAGGACCCCGCTTCTTCCATGTCCTTTCTTAACCTACACAGTGCCAGAGTCCATGGGGATAATGAAGACTGCACTGACAACTTGGAGGAACCGTAATTAGGGACTGCAGCCTGGGCAACACTCCAGGTATTGTTTAGCTCAGGACTAGAAAAAGAAAGGAAAGAGATAGATAGATACGTGGAATTCTTTCCTCATTATTCTTGGCTCCGAGGAACGATCTGATTTTGACTTTTAAGGCCAAGGGATGCATTCTGGTAGATAATTACCTTTCTTTCTCTTAGTGAAATTAACAATAAAGTTGCATAGCTCTGGTGACAGCGTGATGAGTTAGAAGGCATGTATGTGCTATTAACCAGGGGGCTGTCTTAAATAGAGCTCCAAATGGAAAAGGCCAGGAGGGAACAAAGCCTGGTTTCCTGCTTTGAAGACCTCAGCTCCATTGGAAAGCCCTTCCCACAGAGCCAGGGTGTCATGAATGTAAGCACTTACATTGATGATAACAGAGAACTTGCCGATTCCGGAGAGAATGTCAAACCAGATCCCTGTAAGACAGAAAGGAGAGTGTCTGGCTCACTCAGCCCTCAGCCCAGTGATGACAATGCTGCAGCTCAGGTTGAAGCTTTGCAGGCAAGTTACCAGTGGAAGTTTGCTGGGCCCCCCAGGAATGGGTTTGTCTGAAAAGGCTTAGGTGCCCCCCTGTCTGGAAACCAGGGGGACTAGTGTGGTTGGATAAAGCAGCCTCCAAAGGCCTCCCAGCACCTGAAGATGAAGATGAGGAGCTCAGAGGGGTGGGGGGAGGGGGAGACAGAGGGGAGGGCTAGAGGGAGGGAGGGAGGGGGATGGGCCTGTTACAGCCCCTCAGCAAGAAACATACCAATATCTTTGGTTCTCACAGCATCTGGCCGTCTCAGCTCTGTAACAAACTTCTTTGCATCAAGCCGCACTTCAATGACATTGTTGAGTAGGGCAAACACAGGTGCCAGAGGAAAGGAGGCCACAAAGAGGGTGACAAAACCAAACTGGATGACTACAAGAGAGAACGGCACGAGAAGCTTCACCAGGAAGAAGCAGGATTTAGAAAAAATTTGCCTGGCAGTTATGGCCCCTTGTCTTTTCTTACCAGGGTCTCTTTTCCACCTGACCTCTTAGCTCCCTTTTCCTCCTAGCCCACCATCATGGGTATTTCTTTCTCAATCTCTGCAGGCCTAGTGGCCAATGCCATCACTGGGGAGCAAAGCTCTATACTAGGCACAGTGAGGAGATATGGGAAAAGGGAAAGTCTTGACTCTCCTTTCCATCACCCCGTATCTCCAGTCACTACTCCTGGTCGTCTAGCTCAGAGGTTGACAGATATTTCCAGTAAAGGGCAGACAGTAAATATTTTTGTATTTGCAGGCCATGTGCTCTTGTCACAGTGACTTAACTCTGCCATCCATCGTAGAATGAAAGCAGCTATAGACAAAAGGTAGACAAGTGGGCTTGGTTGTGTTCCAATAAAACTTTATTTACAAAAACAGTAAAGAAATTGGGTTGAGTTGGGCCTGTGGGCCATAGTTGGCCAACCGCCGATGTAACTTAAAAAAGATCTCCCAAATTTGGTCTCTTCTTTCCATATCCGTAGTCACTGCCTTTATTTAGAAAGTTTACTCATTCATCACACATTTATTGAATGTCAGGCACTATGCCAGGTATTTAAGGAGGCAAAGGTCTGGTCCTGCCTTCAAGGAGCTGGGTGTAAAGCAGAACAGAGAAATGTACACAAAGAAGTACAACAAGGTTTGATGTGTGCCAAGAGAGAAAGAAGAATGTACCAGAGATAGCAGAGACTGAAAGGAGGGAGACCCCAAGCCTGTCTGGGGTGGAGACTAAGGGAAGCCTCTATTTCAAACACCTAAGCTTAGTTTTGAAAGATGGGCCTGCTGTTCCAGGAAGACTGGATTAAAGAGAGCATTCCAGGCCATGGAAGCAGCATGAGCAAACGAGTGGAGGCAGCCCATGTCAATCAAATGGCTGTAAGGAGTCCAGGCCCTCATCATTGCTACCTGGACAACAGCAGCAACCTCCTGACTGGCTTCCTTGTCACCACAATCCCGTGCTTCTGCAGTCTATTCAGCCCAAAGGCCCCAGTAATGTGATCCTGTCACGTTTCAAATACAAATTTCTGTTGGCTCCCCTCTGTTTACTGGATATAATCCAAATTCCTTATCTTGGGATACAGGTACTTTACAGTCGGCTCCCAACCTGCCTCTCTGGCTCCGTCTCCCAGCATCTCCCCCTCAACCATCACGCTTCTGCCTTCTAGCACTCTGAACTTCTCACCCTCCTGATTTTCCCCTGAACACGTTAGATCCTTCCATTCATTTGTGCACAAGCACTCATTCTCCAGCTAGCAAACTTCTATGCATCCCCAAGAGCATTCAAGTGCCATCTCCTTGGTGAAGCCCGTTCTCCCTCCCGTACCTCCCCCTATTTTGTGCATGCCTCTGTTACAGTCATCGCTGTGTGCTGCTGTGACTGATCTACTCACGCATCTTTATTTCCCACTAGAAAGGCAAGGGTTCCGTTCATTCTAGGGGCTCAGTCCATATTTGCTGATGCAAACACAGTCCTGTATCCCAAGAAAGTCACAGTCGAATAGGACTTCCCTACATACTAAGCAAGTTATTTGCATACATGCAAGTTATTTAATTTCTCCATGTCTCAGTTACTTCAACTGTAAATTGAAGATAATAATAATATCCACCTCATAAAGTTGTCACAAGGGTAAATGATACTGCATACATAAAGTGCTTAGAACAATGTCTGCCTCTTAATAACTGTTCAATAATGTTACCTGTTATGTGTAATTTCACTTTTATTGGAATAAATATCAACATGTACTGATGGCAGCAATATATACTGCATACTTATATGCAAAACAGACACAAATTTAAGGTGTAAGCACTGAACAGGGGTCAGGTGGCCTGACTGCTAGCCCTGGGTGTTTCTCACTAGCTGTATGCCCTTGGGCAATTCTCTGTTTCAATGGGCTTCGGCATCCTCACTGATAAATTGAGGAGACTGGTTTAAATTCCCTTCAGGTCTGATTTGCTGTGATGCTATGATTCTCACTCATTGGGACAAGCTTCAAGATTCTAGGATAGTCAAATAAAAATTGAAAAATAAGGATCCAAACTAAAAAACAAATATTTATATATTTGTTGTGGGTCACTGCTCTGGCTGATACAGCTCTGTCACTGCCATGGTTCTGGATGCCCAATGGATGTTCAGCAGGCCCTATGAGACTAGCAGGTGCCAGTTGGTGGCAAGACGTACCAGAAGACATAGATTTGTCAAAGTTGGGCCCTTGGAATGGCCCCCTGGCTAGCTGGCTGGCCAAAGGAGATTGGGGTGGGAGGTGGGGAGGAGAAATCTTCCAAAACAGCCTCTGGGGGGCCGGCCTGGTGGCTTAGTGGTTAAGTTTGAGTGCTCTGTTTTGGCTGCCCGGGGTTCACAGGTTTGGATCCCAGGTGTGCACCTACACATTGCTCATCAAGCCACGCTGTGGCGGCATCCCACATACAAAATAGAGGAAGACTGGCACAGATGTTAGCTCAGGTCCAATCTTCCTCACCAAAAAAAAAAAAAAAACCAAGCTCTGGGAGCCAGTTCAAAATGCAGGGTCTATCACATCTTTTAAATGAGGCTTTGCTGAGGAATTCACGTTGGATTTGGGGGTCAGGGAGGTTAGAAGAGCAGAGGTGGGTGGAGGGGAATGGAATTAACAAGGAAAGCAAAACAGATGTTAAACTAGTTTTCTAAAACCTATAAAATGCATGTCTGTATTTAAGTATATATGTGAACATATCTTTATTTATGGAGTTCTAAGTTGGTCTTCTTCATTCTAATGAGCTCAGTTCTACAGGGTAATTGATCTTCTCATAAGTGACTTCCTCCAGCAAAACCGTGCAAACTCTGCAAAGCCCCAGCAAGAGCACGGCAAGGAGACTGATGGGGGTGCGGAGGGGCAGGTTACTTCTGAGTGACTATAAATGTATACAGCATGCCCTCACCCCACTCTTGCAAGTGGCACTCAGAAATCCAATGTCCTTCCAGGATTATAGGAAAAATGGGACTCACCACTTCCTCTCCTTTTTTTCACATGAATTCCAGAGGCAGACATGACTCTCTCCTCTGGGGTTGCCCTGATGGTTTGCTTTTTCACTTTCACAAACCCTCCAGACACAGGATCTCCTATGTCCCTATTCCAGCGGTGGCTAACTATTAGTGCTAACAGTGATCAGAAATGAGCCTGACCCCATAGCACGACTTCTCTTTCCCCTTGCCGTGTGGGTCTATGTGCTCAGCACTGGACAACCTCAAGGGAGGGGGCTCAGCCAAGGCCAGTGGTGCTGGGCCTGGAGCGACAGGACACTCCTGTCCCCTCCACTGATGTTGCTCCAGGGTCCTTGGGCCAAGAAAAGCCACTCTCTGCAGATGTCCCACCACTGCAGGTGTTGCCTGCTTGGCCTTGGTACCCTGCACATTTCCAGGAATCTACCCAGAGGCAGAAACAAATAGGAAGCTTTGCTTTATACTGGGGAGAAAAAAATACAAAACCATAACCCTCTAGCATACAAATGCCAAATCCAAGACTTGCTCTTTTTAGTCAAAGGTCTGAATGCTGTATCAGATGGGCGTCCTGGGTTCACTTCAGAGGACAGAAGGATAACTTCACCAACACCAAGATTGCTTCGAAAGCCAGCCGGCCTCCATTAGGACAGGGGCAGTGCCGGAAATCCTTAGTGCACTGCATAATAGAAGCCAGCTTGGCTTGACCAATACCAGATTAAACCTGGCCAAGCCAATTAGGGAGGAATCTGTAAGTTGATTTTCAACTAAATCCTTACAAAGCCTGCTGTAAATTACTCCAAAAAGGCTGAGCTGGAAGGAAAAAGACTGGAAATACTCCTAGGCACAAACCCCACTGGTTTTCTCTTCTCAGTCTCCAGCACCTGGGGATCCCTTAAAATAACCACCAGCCCTATACTGCCTGATGCTGGAGACAATTATCATCTGGACCCTGATTACCTGGGCTTAGGTTAAAATAACAAGGAGAAGTGGATTAAACTAAACAAAATGGCATCCAACAAGGACATTCCAGGACAATCTGCTCAAAGAAGAAAAGTAGTCTATTAGATAGATAGAGTAGACCGGCCAGGACTGCTGGAAAAGCGCTTAATGGAACACAACTCTGATTTTTTATTTATTAATTTAAAATTCTTCAGTGAAAATATCTACCCTTCCATCACACACACACACACACACACACACACACACACACACACACACAGCCTGGCATTCAAGACCCTTTGTGATCTGACCCTAATTTATTTTTCCAGACACATCTCCTCCCCACCCATGCTCTGCGCTCAGGGCTAACATTTAGCTGGTATGCTCAGAGATCAACTCTGCCTGCTTTCCGACCACGTCAAAACCATTTGTACTTCCCCAAACTCACCATGTTTTCCACATTTCTGAGCCTTTGTACAAAACACTGCTGTCTGTAATTTCCCTTCTCTCCTTGTCTGCTGGATGAATTACTATTTATCTTTCAGGCTTAACGCAAACTTAACATTCGCTATGAAAACTCTCCTCCACCCCATTCCCCACCATGTCACCCAGGCAGAACTGGGCACCATGGGCATCTCTCCTCCTCACTCCCATAATGCTTTGCACATGTTGATCTATTTGTTTATTTGACTTGTTCCCTGGATGGTAAGGCCCGTGAGACCATGGACATATTTGATTCCCTTCTGAGTCCTCACGATTTTGTGTGTGCCTATCTCATAGCAGATGGTCAGAGGGTATCTGTTTCATAAATACAAACTATTTTCACCAGCTGTAAACACAAAACAAACACAAAAAGAGGCGACTACTAAAATGTGTGAACCGAGAGCACTGCACTTAGTGATGGTGAGGCTGGAGGGGGACGTGAAGTACTGACACCTCCCCACAGTAGTTCTCAGCTCTGTAATTTGCACAAAA